ATATAGAAGTAGGGGAGCGGCGAGATGGAGAGGAGAGGAGGGAAAACAGGCAATGAGGCGTGAGAAAAGAAGTTGGAATCGCTATGTCAGACAGTTTTGTGGCTGCAGTACTGATATATGTCACATCTATGTAGCGTGCTTTTACCACATTTATTTATTTTACTCTTATTTTTCATTTTTAATTTTCTCTTTTTTTAAGACAGAGTCCCGTTGTCTGTCGCAGGCTAGAGCGAGTGCAGGCGCGTCCAGGCCTAGCCACCAGGCAACCTCAAACTCCCTGGGCTTGAGCGACCTCTGGCCTCAGCTCCGAGTAGGTGGACTACAGGCACTGCGGCCCCCCGGCCCGGCAACCATAGGGCCACCCGATATATACATACAGTTGCCCCAATAATTTCTTTCATTTTATAAGTAGAGAACTGGGGGTCTCGCTCTTGGGTCAGGGGGGTTTAGACTCTGACCTGAGGCACTCGCGCCGCCCGGACTCCCAGAGAGCTAGGGATTGAAGGGCGTGGGACGAGCGCCGGGCCTTTCTTTTACATTTTTGAACACTTAACAAGATATCTTTTCTATTACTGGTCCATAAAACCTGCTGAGTAGCAAAGGGAAAACGTATGTATTCCCCATTTTATAGGGGCCTGGGTAAGACCAGAAATTCTGAGATTAGTTATTTTGCTGTAGGTCACCCAACCAGGGAGAAAAAAAAAAAAAGCAAGGAGATGCTATATAATTGCATATAAAATAAACAGGGAGATGAAAAGGTAAAATATAAAATTTGATGGCAGTCCTTAAAAATAAAGGCAGGAAGTGTGAAATGGACACAAAGACAAAAAGGAAAGCTGGCCAAAAGGGAATGAATTTGAACAAAATAAGAAAACATAAAGGGGAAAAATAGTTTAGCGCACCGCCATTTGGCAAATCACATTATTTCTCCATGTTCGCCAGATGCGCGATGATTTGAGCTATTCAACGTTTAGGAAAAACCCAAACCAAAAATAGAAAGCAAAGACAAGCCCGTAGCAACAAGTTAAAATGGTTAGCAGGAGGAGGTGAATCTATTGTTTCTGGACGTGCATAAGGAATGCTGATCACCAAGTGGTCTTACTTATTTCTCCCCTGAATAAAACTTTATATCTCAACCTAATATCAATTCTGGCCCTAATGGCTTGAAAGAATGAACAGTTCATTTACAAAATCACTAAACTGCGTCCTTTGGCTTCTTATTCCTTACATTTTAGGGCCATTTTAAGGGCCCAAAAAGGTTGGGTAAGACGAATTGTCATTTTAAATTATATATGTTTAAAAATATCTCAGGTCTTACATACCAAAGAATAGTTTAAACCAGCATCTTTGTATGCTGGCATGTCTAATATCTAAGTCCCAAAAATTAAATTACTCAGCTTTGAGTACAGAAGTATAAAGAGAGCCACAATTCATGAACTTTCTAGTTATGATTCCCTGTTGTGAACATGATCCAGTGTTTTTCCATTAACCAAAGTGTAACCATATTCACATTCAAGTAGTATGTCCGGATACATATGTATGATATGATTAACAATTTGTTTGCTTTCTTTAATCTTAGAATGCTCAAAGATTGATAAAGGGCTGCAAATACTTGACTTTGTGAGGCCCAAACGTATTCGGAGCGCCAACCAGAAGTAAGGCTGTGTAGAGAATGCACATTAGTCTAATAGCGGAGAAAGGTATGCCCCGGATTGTTAATCCAAGCCTCCAGTAAGTTCTCAAGGAGAATGATGTAGCTATGGTTCCACGGCATCCCGAGGCCAGAACACACTGATGGCTTGGTGTGTGTGTGTGTGTGTGTGAGTGTGAGAGAGAGGAGAAAAGAGAGAGAGAGGAGAGAGAGAGAGAGAGCAGATGACGGACGAGAGAGAGGAGAGAGAGAGAAAGGAGAGAGAGAGAGGGGAGAGAGAGAAGAGAGAAGGGAAGAGAGAGAAAGAGAGAGAGGAGATGGGAGAGGGAGACGAAAGAGGAGAGAGAGACGCGGGTGGAGAGAGAGAGAGAGGAGAGGGCAGAGACGAGAGAGGGAGAGAGAGAAAGAGAGAGAGAGAGGAGAGAGAGAAAGAGAGAGAGAGGGGAGAGAGAGAGAGAGGGAGAGAGAGGAGAAAAGAGAAAAGAAAGAGAGAGAAAGAGAGGGAGAGACGGGAGGGGGAGAAGGAGAGAGAGAGGGAGAGAGAGGGAAAGAAGAGAGAGAGAGAGGGGAGAACAGAGGAGAAAAAGAGAAAGAGAGAGAGGGCGAGAGAGAGAAAGAGAGGAGGAGAGAGAGGGAAAGAGAGAGAAGAGAGAGGGAGAGAGAGAAAGAGAGAGAGAGGGAAAGAGAGAGAGAGAAAAGAGAGAGAGAGGGAGAGGACAGGAGAGGGAGAGAGAGGCAGAAGAGAGAGAGGGAGAGAGAGGGAAAGAGAGAGAATAAGCAGAGAGAGAGAGGGAAGAAGAGAAAGAGAGAGGAAGAGAAAGCAGACGAGGGATAGAGAGGAGGGAGAGAGAGGGAAAGGAGAGAGAGAGGGAAAGAGAGAGAGAAAGAGAAGAGAGGGAGAAGAGGGACGAGAGAGAAAGAGGCAGCAGAGAGAGAGGAGGGGAGATGAGAAGAGAGGGAGAGAGAGAGGGAAGAGGAGAGACTGAGAGAGAATATGATCCCCACAAGTAGAGTCCCCCAAAAATGATAACTGAAATGGCTCTAGGCTCAAACAATAATGAGCCCGCCAGACTTACAACATAGGCCCCAAGATTCAATCACAGACCAGAACCTTTACAGTTCCTAGACCCTTTAAAAGCTCCAAATACAGCCTTTCAGCTTTCAGCAATCACTCAAGCATGGTAAGATTAATTCTGAATTTTGTTCCCCCAGGAAGAAAATCATTCTTTTCCTCTTTCTTAACCACAGATCATTAATATACTTGGTGAATTGGCTGTGCCTTATTGAAACCATCACTACAAGCTCCGCATGCTAAAGGAAAGAACGCCAGCCTTTGCATATGATTTAACTTTTTAGGGTAAGCCTTCAAAAGATAGTATTTAATATTCCCAGCAACTGACATAGCTTGTTAATAGCCATGAGGTTTAGCTTTCTCACAATCCGTCTGAAAATAACCGCTTGTACAAGGTTTCCCTACTGAAAAAAGGAGAGTTCAAAGAGGAAGTCATCACACGATTGGCAAAAATTAGTGTAATGAGCATTTAAAATATGTTCCATGAAACCCATTGACGATGGGCTTAATGTTCAGTTTTTTTTTTTTTTAATTTTGTAAAAGCTAAAAACAGACAGACACATTGCAAAACATTCATTGTAAACATGCATTGGCACTTAAATGTTTTTGAATATTCTTGGGCTCTTATGTAATCTAATGCTTTCGCATTGCTACGAACCTTTTCTGTAATTTGTAATATGGGTATGTTGTTTGAAAGCCAAAACCCCCGTCGTTCTCCTCCCGCGTGGCCGGGAACACGCATTACCTAGTGGCAACTCTGGCTGCGATGCGTCGTGAGTGATCGCAGAAAAGACAGCACCCGAGGTGGACAGGATTGTAATCAGGGCGTAGACGAGGCATGTAGGCCCCCTCTGGGCAAAATGAAGTATCCAATGTTTCTCTTTAGGCCCGAAAACTTAGTGACAGTCATGGATAGTGGCCCCTGAGTGAAAAAATAAAAAAATAAATAAACAAAAAAAACAGATAAAAACGAATCAGATCTCCATTTGGATTGGCGAACGCACCTTCTTCGCTTTTCATGGCACCTCTGCGTGTCCATGTTTGGGGGAAACCGGACTCACCCTGTTGTGAACACCCACCTTCTGGAACGCCATCTTGTAGTGCAAGCCCAATGGAAAAGCTGGGGGCGGACAAGCCTCAATTTGTTGACGCCGTCACTGGCTCCCCTTCTCCGGCTCCGTTGCCAGTAGAGACGGTCCGATGGTCGTCAGTGGTGTCACGCTCGTCCCCTGAAACCAAAGAAGCGCAGGGCACGTCAAAACAGAGTTCAGTTGTTGGGGAACTGGACCATTATGCTTTCCGGTTTACCAGAATGAAATTCAGTGAGTAATGTAACGTGCTGCTGCCCAGGACCTTTGAGAGTAAAATGGTGTTCGCGGACACAAGACGTGCCCTGTGACAAACCAAGGTTGGGCTGCCTGAGCGCATAACACAAAGGGCCTGAGTTTCTGGCACCTAAGGCGAGAGGCTGGCCCAGCACGGCAGTGGGGGTCTGGAGCCCACACAAAATGTAAGGGTGACGCCATGGCACTCACTCTAGCCTGGGCAACAGAGTGAGACTCTGTCTCAAAAAAAAAAAAGAAAAAGAAAGCAAATGGAAAGGCAGATTAAAATCCTATTGAAAGCCTACTGTCAAATGTCTCTCATTTTGTTATACGGCCACATCTTTCTTTTTTCTTCTCAAAGCATCTTACTCTTCTCCCTCCTAAATCTGTCATAGTGATGCTGACTCCCACAGCAGCTACTACCAGACTCAGAACCGGGACCAGTTTGAGGCGATCTACTTCATTCCATGAATCTATAACACGCTCAAGTCACGAGGTCAATACTGCATTTTAAAATAATTGTGAGTCATTCATGGCAAAACATCACCGAAAGAATGTATGAGAAATTTCATGATTTGTATCAAGTAATTGATTTATGTATTTTTTAGATACAATGTAATCTTCTTGCTTTGATTTTTTTCAAATACTACCTCTATTTTCTTGGTTCCAGAGCTTAGAATGAATTAACTCCCTGATGTCAGGAAACAACTTCTTAAAAAAAAAAATTGAACTTGGGTTTGTGAAAGCATTTTAAGCTCATAGAAGGTAGGTTCTGTTTTATCTACTTGATTAAATATAACATTCCTCATAGTTTAATGTTCGTGAGGCTGCATAATAAATATTTTGTGTTGATCTGGTCGATAAATGAAGCTGATCGATCTCGGGAAAAGCAAAGCAGGTGAAAAAGAAGTTGGAATCCTATGTAGACAGTTTGTGCTGCAGTACTGATATTGTACATCTATGTAGTCTTTTACCATTTTATTTATTTTTTATTTTACTTTTCCTCATTCACTTCTTTTTTTTTGCAGCACCCAGCCGACGCTTCCCTCCGCCTCTTTCGTCTGCCCCAGGCCACGAGTGGGAGCTGCCCCGTGGCGCTCAGCCTCCGCTCACAGCAACCTCAATCCTGCGCGCGGCTTGAGCGACCTCTCCTGCGCCTCAGCCTCGACAGCTGCACACACAAGGAACACCAACAAAAACACGGCGCACCACTTTCGGCCAAACCCCACACCTTTTTTATATACAAACACCACACAAGCTGGCCAATTATTTTCTTTCATTTATACGTAGAGACGGTCCTCGCTCTTGGCTCAGGGCTGGTTTCGAACTCCTGACCTCGAGCATACACCGCCTCGGCTCAGAGAGCTAGGATTACAGGCGTGAGACACCACGCCCGGCCTTCTTTTACCATTTTAAACACTTAACGGTTATACATTGTTTTATATGACTGTCATAAAAACCTGCTGAGTTCAATAGGGAAAGTATGTTATTCTCATTTTATAGCTGGGTAAACAGAAATTCTGAGATTAGTTATTTTGCTGTAGGTCACCCAACCAGGGAGAAAAAAAAAAAGCAAGGAGATGCTATATAATTGCATATAAAATAAACAGGGAGATGAGAAGGTAAAATATAAAATTTGATGGCAGTCCTTAAAAATAAAGGCAGGAAGTGTGAAATGGACAGCAAAGACAAAGGAAAGCTGGCAAAGGGAATGAAAGTTAACAAAATAAAAAATAAGGGGAAAATAGTTTAGCACCCATTTGCAAATCACATTATTCTCCATGTTCAGATTTCATGATTTGACTATTCAACGTTTAGGAAAACAAATAAAATAGAAAGTCAAGACTACCGTACAAAAAGTTAAAATGGTTCGGAGAGGAGGTGAATTCTATTTTTCTGGACTCATAAGGAATGCTATCACAAGTGGGTCTTACTTATTTCTTTGAATAAAACTTTATATCTCACCTAATATAATTCTGGCTAATGTGCTTGAAAGAAATGAACAGTTCATTTACAAAATCACTAACTGCGTCTTTGCTTCTATTCCTTATTTTACATTTTAAGCAAAAAGTGTTGGTAAACGAATGTCATTTTAAATTATATATGTT